CTTACTAATCTACATATCACGGTGTGTAGCGATGCAAGTACATATGCCGACCGAGTCCCCCATTTGATTGCATTCTCTACCTGGCAAAGTCTCCACACTCTCTCTCTCTCGCCCTCTCCCTGTTTGCTTTGCTATGAGTGTGTGTGTGTGTGTGTGTGTGTGTGTGTGTGTGTCGAGGGCAGTCCCCTCGATCAGCGCGAGTGCGCTACCCCATTCTCTCCCTTCTTCCCGATTTCGGCTATGTGCTTTCCCAAGCCCTGATGCACAATGGCCTGGTCGGGATTTGTTCCCAGGATTCGAAGCTGGAAGCTTGTCTGCGACACGCTTTCCACCCGCAAAGTCTCGCTCATGCGAAGCCGAAGCTGTCCGACAAGGTACCTTGCTTGGTAAGGGCACGCTTCCAGCAGAACGAAAGGCTAAACAGGTTCCTGTGTAGGCGTTTCAAAGCAGGGGTATATCGAACCTGTGAGAGCACGCAAACTGTTGCTTCCAGCAGCCTCCGAAACGGACGCAAACCCTCAAACAAGATCTCTACAGTAGTTTCCTCATCATGCAAGCAAGCAGACTTTTGGCGCGGCTGAAGCGGGGGTCCGGATTGCTGGCTCGAGACGAAAGAAATGAACCCTCTCTAGATTTTTCTGAATAAGCTTCACAATTGTGTGGAGATACTCGCAGTTCAGCCAGACATGGCCACGTCTGCAGGCTAGCGATTCTGCTAAGCACCATGCAGTACGTTCCGCGTACAGACCTAACCTATCGACTTCCAAAAGCCGACCTGGCTGTCTCTACAAAGGCTGCAAGCATCCTCCCGACTACCCCCCTCGTATTTTGTTGCAACCTCTGAAGCTCATCTATGCAACCACACAAAACCTTAGGCATGAATTGTCCTTTGAGGTACGCGGTGGTTGCAGACTGGCGATCCAGCCGTGCCTTCAGACTCATGAATCCACGAAACGCCAGATAACCTGATCGGTGGTGTGGGAGAGGATGATGGCATGCTCGTTCTCGGAGTAGAGATGATGGAAAAGCAACATGGGTTTATGTATACTCCGAGCAGCAATCAAAGTTGCCAGGCATGCTCCCCATGGTCTGTCGAAAGTACTGTACGCTCTTGAATACAGCTGGATCATTGGTAGAAAGTAAGCAGCTGTAAATGTCCCCACGGCCAGAAATGAATGCATCGCAGAGGTACAGAGCGACTGAAGCGCCTGGATTGCTGGCACACCCTTACCCCAGAACAACCCCCACAGACTCGACAACTACAGTTTTTGGGACACTGCAGTGGGTATCTCCTGAAGATGCACCAGACGTTTCGAGGCAGGGTCCCTTTTTCGACCTTCGAGGCGAACAAAAAAAAATGTGACCACGTTCTTAAAGTGAGGGGGGTCCAAGCATTGGGGGGTGGGTACTACGGAGCCTGAGGGATCCTTGGGGAGTGCTAAGGAGTATTGGGGAAAATCGGGAACTCCAAACTGCCTACCTCTTGGACTCACCACCTGAAAACATGGTAAGACATGTGCAGCCCAACCCTAAAACGCAAAAGCACAGAGCTCAAAGAACTCGAATCCGAGCACCGGCACCTTCCGACAGGAATTGCGAAGTTGGAGGGCACGCGGAGCCATCTACAACAAGCACCACGCCGGCCCTTGCGCAGGCTTTGCCCCAAGAATTGATTTCCATCCTAGGCGGCTCGGCTGGGCGATCGCAGTCAACTTAACATTCTTACACTTTGGCCTCTTGGGAGTTTTATATTAGCCTTGTACATGTTGCAACAGCTATGAACCTTCGTCGCCTAAACCACGGCATTGTCCTATGGTCGCCTCAAAACTGCGTTTCAATAGACACCAAAGGCTCTTGTCATTTGCGTTGCCATCAAGCCAGCACAGCTTCGCGCCAGAAAGCATGTTGGAACGATCAGCTGATGACAGGCCCGCTGAACACGTAACGTCCTGCGTTTTTCGAACATGCCCGAGAACATCCGAGACTCAAATCTAATCGCAATTTTTGGGAACTCTCGTAAGTTGTGGCAAAGCCTAGGTCCAGGATCGCTCCTCAAAGGGAGCGGGGGCCTCTCACTCGGTATTCTCGGCCACTATCCAAATGGAAGTTGCGTCATGGCTACCACGGCCTTCGGAAGAAGTTGCTGAATGTTGCCACAGAGTGCTTGCAGCTGGAAACCTAAGGTTCAGGATGGTTCAGGGCAATCTTTACGCACATACATGGTGCTGATCAGCTCTCCTGGAGCTGGAAATCCCGCCGTGACGCCGCCTGCTCGAAAAAGCGCACGAGGCTCTTGTCCTCAGTCCAAGTTGCAAGAGACTTTTTTCAGAACCTGATGAGCACATCGGTACCGGGCAGTCAAGATTCTGGCATGACCAGAAACGCAGATCATGAGTCTGCAAGATTGCCTACCATAAGCCACAGACCAAAGTCCATGCATAGCTTTCACACGCTAACCCTGATGCAGAAATATTGAGCCCTTCGCATAAAGGATTGAAATGAAATGCTGTCTTGCTGACTTATTTAAGTGTCAACAGAACAGACTTGCCGGGCTCCTAGACAAACGAAATGAGAGGTTCTTGGCAATGAAGGAATAACGAATGCGTTGTGCAAGGCCTCTTTCGGACTTTTGTCTGTTGCTCACGTGAGCGGCGTGCCTTCAGTTGCCTCACATTATGCAGATGAATATCGGCAGCTGCATTTGCGGTGCAGTGCTTCAGGCTTCTTTTGCAGCGTGCAGCAGAAGTTGTGGAATTCTTATGCCCGAAAGGCCTGAAAGTATAATTGTAATTGACAACAGCACCCGCGAAACATCGTCATCACCTGAATGACGCCCCCAGCATGACGGCGATCATTTTGTCCAAACAAACAGCAGCAAACAAGGTAGCTCTCTCAATACTGCTCACCATGTCGGGTGCAAAATCCACGCACGCAAGTCTTGTTACACCAACACTTGATGTGCACACCCTTCCATGGAGATGCTAAAAGACCTGCCACCAAACCAGGGATCCTTGCAGTGAGTTGGGAGTCATGATTCAAGCGTGCGTCGTGCCGCAGCCCAAGGACCAGCATCAGATCGCCCGATTTCAGCATGGCCAGGACACTTGCGACAGCGGCCTCCAAGTTGAGGGTCAGGCTATGGAGGTTCGCTATAAGCACTCAGTTCTGCCCAAACCAACTTTCTATGTGGAGCCGACTAAAGGTGCCGGACGCGTGTTAGGAGCTTGTGGTGGTCCAGCGCTCTCATTTCAGAGAACTCAAAGTCAGTACCACAGCTGCTTCTATGCCAGGCAACAATACCTAGACAGGGAGTTTTGCGGCCCGCTTAGACAGCCAGAATATGCCAGAATACTGCCAGAATGATCAGACTGGCAGGTCCTTCGATCGTAGTCACAAAAACACTCGCAAGCTGGGTAGCTGCTCCGACTCCTCAGTCATAGACATACACAGCTGCTGAATGCCTCGCCCCAGACCCTCCCGATCCCTCCTGGACCCTTGTGCAGGAATCCACGGCATGAGCTCCTAAACCATACCAGCTCAGAAGACAAAAGCTAAACCGTCCCAAACCAGCATCCCCCTGACGAAGGGCCCACCTCATACGTGCTGAAGGCCAAAGCATGGGGAGCCATCTCGCAGGATGCGTGGCACTGCTCGAGCTTCCGCCTGGTTAGAGCTGCAAGGCGCAGAAGAACGACATTGAAACCACGTCTCAGGAGATGCGGTTTCAATGGGAAGGTGTGTTCTGGGGTCGTGGATGGTACAGTCCGCTGATGTTCCCAGTGGTCGGGGCTTGCTTTTTGAGTGATCCGGAGCCGTGCACGGTATCCGCGTCGTATGTGCCGTATCTGACTGGGCCACCATGCGCACAGCCAAGAAGAGCTGTGGTATTCAAGGAGTTTGGGGCTGAAGTCTTGGGAACAGGGCTGTGACGTTCCACCTGAAATGTGGGGAGGGGCAGAGTGCGGGCGGGTGCAGCTACTGCTGTGTACCTGCAACCACCATAATACAAATTACAAAACGTTCGAATCATAAAACATAACATATTACAAGATATCGCGATACAGCATAATATTTAATATAGTGCAACAGACAAACATATAGTACATCAAAATACGATATGACATATACAGATATACATACATACGTTGCAGATGTGTTCAGCCCCAAGGATCTCAAACAGGACACTGATTGGATCAGGCGCAGGCCTCGTCGGGTGGTCGAAGCGCCCGTAGATCGCTCCCTTCGGATACGGAGTGCCCGGGGACCGGTAGATGAAAGCTTGCGACCTGCTGCAGTGAAGCATACGCTGGTGGCACATCTTCAACAGTGCAGCAGGTTCTCGCTTGCCCTAGAGTTGGTGAAAGGAAACCGCAAAACCTGCGGCTTCTGGAAGAATAAATAAAAAATGCTGCCAAGATGAAGCTAGCCACAAGTGGATGGGGATCCCCACGCAGCCAATGCCATCCTCCACCTCCCCCCTGTTGTGTAAACACCGTGTTGCCACGCCCCACTCCTGATTGTATACTGCAATGAACTTCCGAGTCGGTGCAGCGCTGAGTCGGGCGGTAAAGTAGGCTCAAGAGGCGGAGGGGTCCATCTTTGGACGACCCTTGAAACAAGAACATTCGCCCAAATGGAAGAATCTGCACATTATGTCCTGAAGCTGAATGAGACGCCGTCAAGAATCCTGTGCCGCAGCCAAGAGTCTTTCTGTAGGTCCACGTGAATCTTGCCACCGGAACGATTGTCACTCTTCTTGAGCTCGACTTCGTCCGAAAATGTGGACACCTGGAGCAAGAGGCTGCTCCTACGAGACGAGCATTGAATTGGAAGGAATTTCAGCCGTACTGCCTCACCTTGAGATCCCAGTCTCAATTGTCTTGACAGCAGAAGGGGGCTTGGGAAGACCCAGCCAAGAACAGAGTATACGGTACAAGGCATCTGCCGCAACTTTGGCACATGACAGGAAAGCTCACGTTTCGATGCACGAGTGGATGAAGTGCAATCAAGATTTTGCTTGGGCTTCATAGCTAAAGACGGCAAGCACCCTGTGCCACAGCAACATTGCCAAGTCACGTGCTGACAAATGCTGTTGCCAAGGATTGGCCCAAGAATGAATGCCGTCAGATTTGCTAGAACGAATGCCAGACCTGTCCTCAGCTCTCACTTGCGGGCTCCCTAAAGCCACGAGTCCAAGAATGAATGCCGTCAGATTTGCTAGAACGAATGCCAGACCTGTCCTCAGCTCTCACTTGCGGGCTCCCTAAAGCCACGAGTATGTAGGAAGGCAGCATGCCCAGCGACAAATGAACGAGTGCCCAAACGACACTGTCAACCAATGACCTGCAGTTTGCTAGGCCTTGCAGGAATTATCTACCAACCTGCAGCCTGCGTCTTTTCTGAAATTTTCTAAATCACCCCTGGGGCCCTGTTCGAAAGATGCCGAAGCTGAATTTCTCTGCGACGCATCCTTTCTTCACAGCATGTTACACAAGCCTGCTGTCCCTCACACCACTGAGGAGCTGTCGCATCATGCTTCTCCTGGCTGCGGCCCGCAAACAGAGCCGACGTGTTTCTATCGACAATTCCGGCCGCAGCGCTCGCACCCAACAGCGTAGAGGCAAGGAGAATGTAATCCAGGCTGAAGCATAGCAAAGCCTGAGCTCAATCTTCACAACCCGTCAAGCTCAGCTACGAGGTCGGCGAATTCAAGCTGCCCATTACAGTCCGAACTGTTCAGAAGATGTTCTACTCGGAGGAAAACAAGCTTTTAAACGCTTCTTGAAAAGGGCCCGGATGCGCTGCTACCACCCACGAGCATGGCTAGGATCTGCAGCGTTTGGCCCTCCAAGACAGATCGAAGCGCTGGAACGCTGTACCTGGATCGTGGGTATGACTTTGAGATCTGTTTCGACCCAACGTCAGATGTGCACGTCCAGTAATTCCCAACCAGGTGCGCGAGGAGGATTGCCGGGACTGAGCTCAACAGCCACATCATGCCGTCAAGTTCCTTAGTTGCAGAGCTGCACAGGACGGAGCCCAATCAAGTGAGCCACGGGAGCTTACAAAACTGCGGGCCCGCAAATGGACACCTAGTTCATGGAAACTCCTGTGAAACACGTGCGCGTGCCATACAAAGTAACAGACATGACATGAAAACTTTGGCCGAAGCTTCTGTTTCGTCTGGTTGTACCCTGGTGACACCCCCAGCGGACCATGTACTCGAATGCCGTGGAGGCCAACGCAGCGATGAAGGCCAGGGCTTGAACAAAGCGATGGTCGGATTTTCTTACATGCTGCGAACAATCGTCTGACTTCATTTTCCAGGTGGCTCTTCAAAGCTAGAGTGAGAGCTGTTGTTGTCAAATCGGTGAAGTATCGCACGTCCGGATCCATGACCAGGCATACATTGCTAGGTCATATGAGATTTGCTACGCCTCACCGCTGAGCCTATCAACGGCCTTTCCCAGAAAGGCAGCATGCACAAGTCCTGACCACACTTTAGCTACAGCTTCATCGACATCACCTCTGCATAATGCTTTTTGAATGTGGCAGAAGTAGTTGTTGTGGTGCGTTCGTGTCAATCACTTCCCCCCCGCGATTAAACCCACCCCTTATTGAAACAACGGCATTTACTTTCTTTGCAAGACCCGTAGCACTGTAGCGATGAGGGCTTGCAAAACACGCCCGCACCGACGAGAATTGCTAACCTAGCCCGCCAAGGCACCCATCCCCCTGAAGCCAACATGTATAGCAAGAATGCTTGTGACCGAACCGTTGCGAAGTCTACTCAGAGATGGGCCAGAGCTCAGGAAAAGGTCGTGCAAGCACAAGAAGCCCTGCAGAGAGCAGGCTAGGTCGGATGTCAACATCAGTTCAACATCACTAACACGTACCAAGATCAGCAGCACATAATACGAAGGGTTGATGACCAGGAATTGTGGAGTGGATGGGCATTGCCGGAAACCGTACACTGGCCTTCGCTGAAGGAGCCCCCGAAAGTGTGTGGCAGTGTGGGGTCTACGGCCGGGCGGCGGCTCTGGAATGCGCGTTCTCTTCGTTTGGGGGTTTGGGGCATTGTTGTCTTGATCAGTGTCAAGGAATCTCGCGAGTCATTGTAGTTACGAGCTATCCCCAGACTATGCACGGCTCGCAGTTCCTCCCCTGAACATCGACTCGAGTTCGCCTCATACTCTTCATGTTAGAGAGTCGGCAGTCGACCCATCGTCATGTCAAGCCCTTCCCCAAACTCAAAACCTAGAACCCAAAGCCGTGTTACAGTTACTTGTCGACCAGTTCTTCCAGGAACGAGGGCTTCAACATCCAAATCGTCTTGGCTGCGGTCATGGCTAGCCGGCAGGTTGCAGTATGCCCCAGAAGAGTGTACTTGCATTCTGGCTGGCATGTTTGATAGACGCTTGATGCTGAAGGATGTTTTTCATTTTCTTGAACGCCCCTTATCCATCTGCAGAAGGATCCGAGAAGGATCTTGGAAGTGTTTTCGAGCGGGTTTACGAGTCAGTTCAAATGGTTTTAGAAAAAAGTCTAGATGTGGGGGGGTCTGAACATCGTATGACAAGAGAAAGCACCAGGAAACCCACCACCAAAAGAAGAGGCACAGGGAACACCATCACGACACTGCGAACAAGACAGTGGAATGAGGTAGCCATGGCGCAGAAAGCGCGCATCCGTAGCGTCCGAGACGCGGGTCCCGCCAGAAGATACCCCCGAGCTTCGTTGCGCAAAGCGCGACTGCGGTGACATTCAATTTCCACAACCCTATTACACCGCAGTTGTTGCTAAAACCGCGTGCCGCACTGTGTTCGGGCCGCTGCAAACTCCTTTCCGCACCCGTATACCAAATTTGGGATTGCCATCAGGTCCCCATACGACCCAGCCGTCACGCTACAATTTGCGGCTTGTGGCAAGACCTCCAGCCAGTTTCCGGTAAAGATACCACCTATGATGCTACATGTGCGATGCAGGGAACTCTCAATGTCTGGCGCATGCTCCAACTGGCTATCGCGGCACATGTGCTGCACTTGACTCCTCTGGATATTGCGGGCGAAGCTGTCGGCCATGATCGGGGCACGGCAGTTTGCATAATTGGAGGTTATGAGGCAGCATGGCCACATCTCTCCATAAACTAAAGATCCAAATTAAAACTCCAAATCTACGACGCCTTGGTGCTGATTCTTGTGAACAAGCCGGAACGTAGGCCACAAAATTGAATTGTGGGGCATAGCTTTTCGAACAGGCCCCGGTACGAATGACCTCAAGGCATGGGGGAGCGGCGATCCCTTAAATTCCCTGCCTCAGGGTCACGTGGTCCCAGGCACGGACACACCTACATGCGCTTGCTTCCACCTAGCCATCGGAGCCCGTTGCTCGTTCGGTTTCCTTGGATGTGCAAAGACATTGGAAGGAGCTCTGGGGTCTAGGTGGGATTAAAGGTTCCGTACGAACCCAAGAACCCTCCCTCAACCTACGCCCTGAAACCGAAGACCCGAAACCATGTGTTGCGCGCCAAGTTTCTCAAACTGCCAAAGTCAGAGGCCATAGGAGCAACCAGTGGAGAGTCCGAGAACGCCAGAGGCTCGGGTGTCGAGTCACAGGTCTCCCCACCGCA